ACCTTTTGGCCCAGCAATCTTACTTAAAGGATTTATGGGGAGGTGATAATTGTGAAAGTGCTTTTTAAAGGTCATGCATTCTAGGAATAAACTTATTAGAGGCCTGAATACCTATGAGTGAAGATGTTCATCAACAATGAAATACAGTCTGCAGTTATATTTATTGACCTGAAAAGTTGGCTAAATTATATTGTTTAATAAATAACAAAGCTATCCTGTTGTATTTTCTATTATAAATATACAATCCAAACCCACAGCCTCTAAGAACAGAATTGCAATCAGAACCAGCAAGGCATATTATCATAGCTGTCTCTCAGTCTTTCTGTTCTTCTTTGCACATAGCTTTCATTCTGAAGTCTCACTCCACCCTGATTTTTTGTTGTTGTTGTTTCTCATATGGCTGGAAATAGTTACAAATATCATATTCTAAATGTGCATTTCTTTAGCTCCATGAGGCAGACAAAATAAACTGGAATATTTTGTCCTCATCTCAAAGTCCTTGAGAATCCACTCTGATTGACCCAATCTAGAGAACCATCTAACCCTGGTTTAAGCAACTGTTGATTGGGTAACAGTGTCATCATATAAAAAAAGACTAATATGCAAATTAACCAAACAGCAGAACGACCAGTCACTATGATGTGCACTGACCACCAGGGGGCAGAAGCTCGTTGCAGGAGCTTCCCCCTGGTGGTCAGTGCACTCCCACAGTGGGAAACACAGCTCAGCCAGAAGCCCTGAGCCAGGCTCATAGCTGGTGAGCACAGCAGCTGTGGCGGGAGCCTCTCCTGCCTCTGAGGCAGCACTAAGGACGTCTGACTGCCCCACAGGGAGTGGGTCTAAGCTGTCAGTCAGACATCCCCTGTGGGCTCCTGGACTGGAAGTGGATGTAGGCTGGGCTGAGGAACCCCTCCCCCACCCTGAGTGCACAAATTTTGTACACCAGGCCTCTAGTATTGTATAAAATTGTTCTTATGGTAGCTGGGGTGGGGAAAGTGGTGCTGTTCCTGTAAAATGAAAATAATTCCCAGAAAATTCAGGGTGGAAGAACTAGTCAATTAAAACAGGTGGCAACCAGTAAATTCTACCTAACTTCTCTCTAGCAAACAGACACAGTCACTTTTTCCCATTTACTTCAAATATACCATATCTTCACAGCTAACCTATGCAGAAAGCAGAATAGCTTCTATGAGGCGATGTCAAGACTCCACTCTCTGGTGATGCCCTTTTCTCCAGGACCATATCCCGCAGATCCTTACTATCCAGTATTATATGGCACAACTGGCCACAAAACATGGAGGAAAAAGTGACAGTACATGAGAACTAGGCCTGGACCAGAACTCCCAGTGGGCCAGAGCACAGACTCTGCTGCAGGCTTTCTCAACCTTGATCCTATTCACACTGTGGTCAGATGATTCTGTCAGGGGAGACTTGTTTACGTCAGGTCTCTCGATGCCAGTAGCACTTTCCCAGAGTTGTGACACTCAAATATGTCTGCAGATATTGCCAAATGCCTGTTGGGGACAGAAGCCCCCTAGTTGGGAATCACTGGTGGATTCGGACAGACAAGGAGAGTTTGGGACAGTAAGAGGGTAAGGACAGCAGGTACCCTGGTAGGAATGTAAGTTTCCTGTTCTGAAACTTGGCTCCCAAAAGTCTTCCTGAAGCAAACATTTTTCTGTCTAATGATTTTTAAAACCACAAGTGAAGGGAAATTCAGGACAATTTCCCTAATGGGGGAACTGCACCATGGGGCCATGTGCTGGCTATCAGTGCAGGTTTGGGACCCACGATCGCCTTGATGAGTATACCAACCAGGTCATTATTTCCAGCTTTTTGGGATTTTTCTGAAGAACAACACCCAGTAAAAATCAATAGCTACCTAGCAATGCCATTAAGAACTTTTCCTGCTAGCCCATGACAGAGGTCTCATCTGGCATGCCTTTTGAACCCCTGTTCAGGGCTTTGCCTCACCTGTTGTCCACTCTTTCTTAGCATTATGACAAGACAGGATTTCCCTGTGATGTTGCCCCTAATCAAGTGTTTATTCCAATTAAGTGTGCTTTACAGTGAGATAATGATGTCCTTCATCCCATATGGTTTGTATTGTAATAGTGGCTTTGAGAGGTAAAATAACAACTGTTCATTTTTTTTTAATATATTTTATTGATTTTTCACAGAGAGGAAGGGAGAGAGATACAGAGCTAGAAACGTCGATGAGAGAGAAACATCGACCAGCTGCCTCTTGCACACGCCCCACTGGGGATGTGCCCACAACCCAGGTACATGCCCTTGACCAGAATCAAACCTGGGACCTTTCAGTCCGCAGACTGACACTCTACCACTGAGCCAAACCAGTTTTGGCCAACTGTTCATTTTTTCTCAGTCATATCCCTCAATCTAGTGCAAGTTGTTCATTTTTCAAATCCTCACATATGTTTACAATACTTTGTGGCATCCGCTACCTGTGTTCAGCAAGGCATATTTGATCTTATTTCCTCCAGAGGCTGGCTGCAAACAGGGAATATTTCTCTATAAAATGCTCACCATTGGGCCAACCAATTATGGATGATAAGTTGAGTATTTCAAACTGCACACAAAATAACAGTTCCCCTGGTAATCAAGGTTGGTAGAGTTGCCTCAAAAATTGAAAACAGCCTCTAAAATTCAAGGAAGAGAGGATTGTTGGGACATAATTTTGAATCCATATCAGGAGAAAAAAATAGACATCAAAATGTTGACCTGAGTTACCAGAAGCTGATGCACCCTGCGAAAATTCTCTCAGTAAACTTTGTCATATTCTGTATTGCTTCACTTTTCAATAATTGTGTGTCAATTATAAAATAAAATAAAAATAATGTCACTGTGATAAAAACTTTAAAAATACTTTAAAATCCAATTGACATCAATGGTTAAATCTTCCAGACAGAATATCAACAAGAAAACAGTGGCCTTAAATCACACTTTAGATCAGATGCATTTCATTGATATTTTCAGAGCATTTCACCTCCCTCCACTCTCACCTTCCCCCCCCCCCCAAAAAAAAAGAATACACTCAAGTGAACATGGAACATTTTTTTAGGACAGGCCACATATTAGGCCACAAAACAAGTCTTAATAAATTTAAGATGATTGAAATTATTTCAAGCATCTTCTTCAGCCACAATGGTACAAACCTAAAATTCAATTACAAAAAAAAGAACTAAAAAACACACAAACACAGAGAGGATAAATAGCACTTTATTAAACAATGAATGGGCTAACAATGAGATTAAGGAAAAATGAAATGAGATAAATGAAAATAAAAGCACAACAACCTAAAATCTGTAGGACATAGAAAGAGCAGCCCTAAGAGTATTTGGGGCCTACCTCAGGAAACAAGATGAATCTCAAATAAACAATCTAACCTTACACATAAAAGAACTATAAAAAAAACAACAAACAAAGCCCAAAGTGAGTAGAAGGAAGGAAATAATCAAGGTCAGAAAGTAATTAATCAAAACTGGTCTTAAAAAAACAATACAAAATATCAGTGAAACCAGGAGCTAGTTCTTTGAAAAGATAACAAGATTGATAAACCTTTAACTAGTCTCATCAAGAAAAAAATGAAGAGGACCTAAATAAATAATATCAGAAACAAAAGAAGAGATGTGAAAACTGACACTACAGAAGTATAAATAATTATACAAAAATACTGTGAGCGATTATATGCCAACATACTGGATAATCTGAAAGAATTGGATAAAATCCTAGAAACATACAATTTTCCAAGACTGAACACTCTGATTACAACCAATAGAATCAAATCAGTAAGCAAAACACATACACACACACACACACACACACACACACACACACACACAAAAAAAAAAAAAAAAAAAAAAAAAAAAAAAAAAACAAGCAAATGTCCTGGATCATATGACTACATAGGTGAATTTTACCAAACCTTCATAGAAGAATTAACACCTTTCTTTCTCAACTTCAAAATAAATAAATAAATCAAGAGGGGGAGAACCTCCCATGCTCATTTTATAAGGCTAGCATTATTCTGATTCTAAAACCAGATAAAGACACTACAAAGAAAAAAAATTACAGGCCAATATCCCTGATGAATATAGATACAAAAATGCTCAATAAAATATTAGCAAATCAAATTCTATAATACATTTAAAAGGTCGTACAAGATGATCAAGTGAGATTTATTCCTGGGTTTTCAGGTTAGTTCAATATTTGAAAATTGATTAACATGATACATCACATTAAAAAATGAAGGATAAAATTGTATGACCATATCAACTGATGCAGAAAAATAATTTTTAAAATCCAGCACCCATTGATAAAAACTCTCAATAAAGTGGGAATGGAGAGAACATACTTCACCATAATGAAGGCTGTATGTGACAAACTCACAGCTAATATCATATTAAATGGAGACCACTAAAAGTATTTCCCTTAAGAACAGGAACAAGACAGGTATGTCCATTTCCATCACTCTTATTCATCGAGTATTGGAAGCCCTAGCTATAGGTATCAGGCAAGAAGAAGAAATAAAAGCCATCCAAATTGAAAAGGACGAAGTAAAACTGTCTTTATTTACATACTAGAGGCCCGGTGCATGAATTCATGCACAGGCGGGAGTCCCTCTGGATGGCCTGCAGGGATCAGGCCAAAACCCGAAGTTCAACACCACCTGCCTCTCCTGTTCATCCCGGCCCCACTGTGCCTGCCACCAGCTCACACTCAATCAGTCCCAATCTGAAGAGGCTCGCACTGCTGCAGCAGCACTCACCAGCCATGAGCCCTGCATCTGGCACCCTCCCAAGGAGAGTGGCCTGAGGGATCAGGCTGAAACCCACTCTCCAACATCCCCCAAAGGGTCCTGGATTGTGAGAGGGTGCACGCCAGGCTGAGGGACAAATCCCACTGGTGCATGATCAGGTCAGGGAGAGACCACAGGAGGGCTCCAGGGGATGTTTGGCCCATCTCACTCAGTCCCAATCTGCCAGACCCTCGCAGCAAGCTGACCTACTGATTGGAGCATCTGCCCCCTGGTGGTTAGTGCATATCAGTCATAGTGACTGGTCAACCAGTTGACTGTCTGTCCCCTCGTAGTCTTGCATGTCATAGCGGGCAGTTGAGCAGCCTTTGCAGATCATTAGCATATTATGCTTTGATTGGTTGTTCGGTTGTTTTGCAGTTCTGCCTATTTGCATATTACCTTTTTAGTATATAGGATGACATGATACTATATAGAGAGAACCCTAAAATCTCCATCAAAAACTACTAGAACTGATCAATGAATTCAGTAAAGTAGCAGGGTACAAAATAATCAGATGTCAGTTGCATTTTTATATGCCACTAATGAACTATAAGAAAGAGAAACTAAGAATACTATCCCATTTACAATTGCATTAAAAAATAAAATAATATACTCAGGAATAAATTTAAACAACCTATACTTGGAAAATATTAAGACACTGAATAAAAAAATTGAAGATACAAATCAGTGGAAGCATATACTGTGTTCATAGGTAAGAAGAATTAATGTTATTGAAATATTCACACTACTGAAAGCAATCTATAGATTCAATGTAATTCCTATCAATAGCTTTTTTTCACAGAACCAGAGCAAATAATCCAAAAATTTACATTGGAACCACAAAAGACCTCAAATAGCCACACCACTCTTGAGAAAGGACAAAAGTTAGAGATATCACGTTCCCTGATACCAAACTATACTATGAGGCTATAGTAATCAAAATACATGGCACTGGCATAAAAACAGACACCAACATCAATAGAACAAACTAGAGAGCCCAGAAATAAACCCACAGCTACATAGTCACTTAATATATGACAAAGGAGGCAAGAACATACAATCAGGTAAAGACACTCTATTTAATAAATGGTGCTAAGAAAACTGAACTAAAGATTCATGTAAAAAATGAAACTAAACCATCTTCTTACACCATATAAAAGAATAAACTCAAAATGGACTAAAGACTTAAAAATAAGATGTTAAACTATAAAACTCCTAGAAGAAGACACAGGCAGTAAACTCTCTGACATTTCTCTTAGTAATATTTTTTTCTGATATAACTCCTCAGGCAAGGGAAACAAAAGAAAAATGAAACAAGTGGTACCACATCAAACTAAAAAGTTATTTTGCACAGTAAAGGAAACCATCTACAAAACAAAAAGAAAACCTACTGAGTAAAAGAAGATAGTGTCAATTGATAAAGAGGTAATACCCAAAATTTAGAAACAACTCAACAATAAAAACAAACAATCCAATTATTAAAAAGTGGGCAGAAGATCTGAATAGGAACTTCTCCAAAGAGGAGATACGAATGGACAATAGACATATGAAAAGATGCTCATCCTCACTAATTATTATAAAAATGCAAATTAAAACCACAATGAGATATCACTTCATACTTGTCAGAATAGCTGTCATCAATAAATCACAGAATGAGTGTTGGGATGATGTGGAGAAAAGGAAACCATCAAGCCCTGTTGGTGGAAATGCAGAGTGCTACAGCCACTGGAGTAGTATGGAAGTTCCTCAAAAAATTAAAAATGGAACTGTGTTGTTAACCAGCAATTCCACTTCAGGGTATATATTAAAAGAAACTCAAAATACTAATTCAAAAGAACATATGCAGCATTATTTACAACTAGAGGCCCAGTGCACAAAATTTGTGCATGGAGGGGCAGTCCCTTTATTCCAGCCTGCACCCTCTCCAATCCGGGACCCCTTGGGGGACGTCTGACTACCAGGGATGGGGCTTAAACCAGCAGTCAGACATACCTCTCACAATCTGGGACCACTGGCTCCTAACTTCTCACCTGCGTGCCTGCCTGATTGCCTCTAACTGCCCCCCCTGCTGGCCTGGTCGCCCCTAACTGCCACCCCCTCTCCTGGCCTGATCACCCCTATCTGCTCCCCCTGAAGGCCTGGTCGCCCCCAACTGCCCACCCCCCCCCCCATGCTGGCCTGATTGCGCCTTACTGCCCTCCCTTCTGGCCTGGTCACCCCCAAATGCCCCCCCCCCCCCCCGCCAACTTGGTCACCCCTAACTGCCTCCCTACTTCCCTGGTTGTTCCCAACTGCCTCCTCGCTGGCCTGGTAGCCCCACACAGCCTGCTGTTCAGTCGTCCATTTGATTGTTTTGGTCATGATGGCCCTGGCTTTTTATATATTAGGATAGCTAAGTTATTGAAGCAACTAAGTGTACAAATGGATAAAAATAATGGTGGTATATATATGCAACGGAATGTTACTTGGCCATAAAAAAATAATTAAATCTTACCATTTGCCACAGCATGGATGGACCTAGAAGGTATATATGCTAAGTAAAATAAATCAAACAGAAAAAGACAAATGCCATATTACTTCACTTATATGTGGAGTCTAACAAAATAAATGAACAAACAAAGTAACAGACTCATAGATACAAGAACAGACTGATGGTTGCCAGAGGAAAGCAGGGTCAGGAGACTGGGTGAAAAAGGTTAAGGGATTCAGAGCTTCAAGTTGATAGTTACAAACTATTCACAGGGATATAAAGTACAGCTTAGGGAATATAGTCAACAATATGCTAATAACTATGAATGGTGCTAGGTGGGTACTAGAAATATCAAGTAAAGTATATGCTAGACACTGAGGGACTCAGAGAGGTCTGTTTGTAATACATTCACTCCTTTTTTATTTATAATAGAAACATCAATTAGAGAGAAACATCGATCAGCTGCCTCCTCCACGCCCCCTACTGGGGATGTGCCCACAACCAAAGTACATGCCCTTGACCGGAATCAAACCTGGAACCCTTCAGGCCACAGGCGGATGCTCTATCCACTGAGCCAAACCAGCTAGGGCTTTTTAAATATATTTTTTATGATTTCAGAGAGGAAGGGAGAGGAAGAGAGAGAGATAGAAACATCAATGATGAGAGATGTCTAGGCGGATGCTCTATCCACTGAGCCAAAGTAGGTAGGGCTACACAGAGCAGATCTTAGAGACAACTTAGGGGCAGCAGGGTGAAGAGCCCAGGGGACACAAAGGCATAAACGCCAAAATTTTTTAAAATCTAACTCTCTGGAAATTGGGCATAAAGCAAATGCAGACACATTTATCCAAGAAAGTCTAGCCAGTGGTCGGCAAACTCATTAGTCAACAGAGCGGCAAACTGCAGTTCGAGAGCCGCATGTGGCTTACAAGCCGCAGTTTGCCAACCACTGGTCTAGCCCAACCTGAGTGGCTCAGTTGGTTGAGTGTCATCCTGTGCACCAAAAGGTTGCTAGTTTGATTCCCGGCCGGGCACATACCTGGGTTGCAAGTCTCTCTCTCATTGAAAAAGAAAAAGAAAAAAAAAGTACGTTTACTAATTCTGGTAAGAACAGTACAGTCTGTGACTCCTACTCCCCTCCTCCTGTCCTCCAGCTCAGCATGACTGAAGCCCCACTTGAGTGGACAAGACAGGCTCCCTCTCCTCCAGTTCCCAGACGAGGACTGCAGCATGTCCCTGGGGGAGGCTAACCGCCGGCATTTCTTGTCCCCCGGGCTCAGTGTGTAGAAGCTAATTCCAGGTGAGTGGGTCAGAGGGTGGGGGCTCTCTCCTTCTACCAGCCCTGCTCCCAGGCATGGCCGTCCAAGAAGACCCGTCCCCACGCCCTGGTCCCTGCTGGCTCACAGGGGAAAGGCTCTATGCCGGGAGAGGCAATCTGAGGAGACCAGAGGCTACCATGCCCGGCTCCATGCTCACACAGCGCCGTGTCTTCTGAGAGTAGCTATCCCCACTCCCAACCTCTGGGGACTAAGCTTTCCCCCCCTCAAGGTAGAGGCTGTCTACAACATTGACACGATATTTAAACGAAAATGTCTAGCTCACAACAAAAAAAAAATCAAGTGCCATGCAAACAGAAGACTATCACTCACACACAAGAAAACAACGCAGGCACCAGATACTGCCCCCAGAGGGCACAGGTGTTGCACTTAAAGACTCCAAAGCAGCCATTACAAATGTATTCAAAGAACTAAAAGAAATCAGGCTTAAAGTAAAGGAAGGTGTGATTCCATGTCTCACCAGACAGAGACTATCAATAAAGAGACTGAAAAAAAAATGAAAAAAAAGAAGCAAATGCCCAGTAGAAATTAAAACCTATGTCAACACAAAGACTTGTACATAAATGTTCACAGCAGCATCAGTGACAGTCCAAGAGTAGAAACAACCCAATGTCCGCCATTGGGTGAAAAGGATAACAAGGATGGTCTATTCAGACAGGGGACTATTCCTCGGCCATAAAAAGGAATGAAATACTGACACATGCTACAGTATGATGAACCTAGGAAATGTAATGCTCAGGGAAAGAATCTCATATCCATGAGACAGCAAGAGGTAAGATTGAAGAAATAAGAGCTAAATTTTGAGGACCCTGCACTGAGAAGTGTGTATTCCTTTGGTAATGACTAATTAACTACTGAAAGTTTTTAAAGAGAGGATGACAGGAATAGATTGACACATGCTTAGAAATCTTGTTCTGGTTATAGGGTGGATTCATGCACCGGGCCTCTAGTATGTGAAGGAAAAAAAGAATAAAATCAGATGATCTTTAGGTTTCTAGCCTGAGTGAGTGGGTGACATCATTAACCAAAATGTAGAATAAGGAGAAGAAGTTAGGAGATGAGAGGAAGGGTTCAGTTTTTGACATGAAATTGCCCATCCTACTTCTAACCATTGAAAGAAGACTTTCTACTGACCCTCTCTCTAGAAAGTGCAAAGAAAAATAGGTCTCCGAGTTGCTCCAGGATGGAAACACCAAAGAGTTCCCTGGGCAAGGACCCAGTCACCTTTATTTTTTTTTCTGGTCTCCACCTTCCATGGCTATCAATTTTTTTTTTTTACTCGAAAAAAAAAAATTTCACCTTTTTTTTGAAGTCTTTTCACCTATAACGATTAATGAGTTCACACACTCAAGTCCATTGCATATCAATTTAGGAACAGTCGTTGCGTTTATCAAAACCAAGGATTATAACCTCAAAGGACTTTTTGGGCAAGGCAGCTGGTACAGGTCAGAGGAAGACCAGAGCGAATTAGAAAGTTTAAGTCCTATCAAGAGGAGAAAGCTCTTACTTCGCTCTAAATGTTTGTCCCTGTGCTTTAACAGAGCACATGTTGACAGATCTTTGAATGTTTCAAAAGAAATATTTTTATGTAAATGAATTTTTATGTAAATGTTGACAATTTATTTTTTAAAACAGTGTGCTAGCCAATGAAACTTATCCATGACCCTGGACTTTAAACCTAAAAGTTTATATATTTGTCTTGTGTTATCACTTTGAGATAACTTTGTGAGAAGGAGCTCCCAAAGTTTCTTTCAATCGTAAAAGTAGCTTTTTCCATTGGCCCTCCATCGACATGGAAGAATCTCCATGTGTATCAGGATCCTTCTTTATGCTGAGCCACGATTTTAGGAACAAGACTCTACTCAACTTATTCATGTAATTTGTCGTTTTGTTGACTTTAATCATAACCCCTTTCTGCCTTCTTGTTTCTGAACAAATATTAAGAATTAGTCTATGTTCAAAGGACTAATATAGAGAGGTTTATAGCTAAAACTGATGTCATATGGAGCCACCTAAAATGAGTATAATCTCCTCACATTAGAAGAAATCAGAGCCAGATAGACAACCTGTGCTGCTCTGAGGTCATACAGTGAGCTCCTGGCAAAGTGAGAAGGACAGCTAGCCTTGCTGACTTGCAGCCTGTTCTCTCCCTCATGCCTGGGCTGAGAGCTCATGATGTGTCTGATTAATCTTTGCTTGGTTGTATCAGTTAGCTGTTCCTGCATAACAAACAAAATATCAGTGGCATATCACAATAGGCAACCATTTCTCACTCACAGGACTGCAGGTCAGCCAGGGCCCACCTGTGTTCAGGGACATGGTCCTGGGCTTGGTCCCAGATATCAGGTCTAGCTCAAGTCACGGGGAAGAGCCCTGCTCCCATTCTGGGGGCCCAGCTACAGAGGGGGAAGAAGAGTGGCTACCTGAGCAGCAAACAGAAACACACATGCCCTTAACACCTAGGCTCGGAGTTTAAGTGCTGCCATTTCCACCCACATTCCTCAAGCAGAAGCCAGTCATTTGGCAAATCCCAACATCAATGGGACATCCAGTACATAACCCTATGAAGATCAGGGTGAGGAGGAAAGGAACATACATTGGACATTAATCATATCTGTCACAGCTTGCATTAATTGAGGGAATATATTGTGCCTGGCACTTCATCAAGTACTTTCTAAATATTATCAAATGTAATCTTCACAAGAGCCCAATGTGATATGTATAATCACCTCCATTTCATAAAGAAGCTGAATGTACATGAGGTTAAACACCTCAGTGGATGCCACACACACTTACTGGTAAGTGGCAGGTCATCCTCTCCTGCACACCCTAGAAATCTTTGCCTAGCTTCAGAAGCTCCCTTTAGTGTTGAGCCTTAGAAATGTGTCAGTTGATCTCTGTCTGTGTGTTAGATGGTCAGAGTCATGGTCAAACCCCTATGGTTACATGACACAAAGGAAGAGAGAAGAAAGGCAAGCGGGACTACAGCAAGTAGACGGGCTCTTCCATGGCAGCAGTCCCATTCCATATGTTTCTAGACTGAAATCGTTTTTAAAAAAATGAAAATGTAACTCTGTGCCAAAATAACATTGTGCAAATATCGAGTGACATGTTAGCTTTTTCACATTGCAGCTTAGCCTTTGAGTTAGAAGATAAATAAGAGTGAACACTTTCTCTTGAAACACAGATTATTTGAATAACTGGAGCTAATTTGAGTTCAGATAGAGCAGACACAGGGCCTTGACATTAAGTCAAATGTCCCTCTCTCTCTCTCACTCGCTTTTGTTCTAACACAGATTCCCAACCGGCAAGTGCAAGACCTAGCAATAACATTGGCCATGAAGGGATGTGTGATGAATTAGGCCCTGAGTCAGAAGTCATTGATCTCTCTGATGCTCTCTGATAAAGAGGTAGCCTCGTCTTCCTACCAGACTTAGTTGTGCCCTAAATCTTGATGTGGGATTTCTAGTTTGATCCTCACTGCAAGTTGCTGTTCTGACAATTGCCTGGTTCCCCCAGACTATCTCTTGAGACAGAGGAACTGCCTTAATCTGGCAAAGACTTTTCCTTGGAACTTAAGCCCTAAACTTGAATCTGTCCCATTCTCTCTACTAATCACAGCCCCAGAAGGTTCTTTAAGGACCTGCTTGCTGATGGGCCTGATTTTACCATCCACCAAACAAGATTGAAATGTCACTGTGCCTTAACCAAGGACTCTGTTGCCAGATCTTTGAATGTTCCAAAAGTTATTTTTATGTAAATGGAATTTTATGTAAACTCTCCCAGCTAGTGCTTTGATCGCAAGGGAAATCCAGGAGTAGCTTCAGACTCTCAATTAGCTACCAGCAGAGGTAAATAGGGGAAGGGTCTCACCTAGGCCAGGCTTGCCAACATCAGCATCACCTTTAGGGATGTAGCACTGAGTGCTTCCCCCTCCATCGCTAGTCTGAAGCTCAGGAAAGAATCACAGTCTAGTCCAGGGGCCAGCAAACTGTGGCCGGTGGGCCAAATATGGCTCACTGCCAACTTTTATAAATAAAATTTTATTGAAACACAGCCATGCTCGCTTGTTTATGTATTGTCTACGGCTGCTTTTGTACTATAACAGCAAAGTTGAGGAGTTGTGACAGAGACCATATGGACTACAAAGCCTAAAATATGTACAATCTGGCCCTTTGCAGATAAAAGTTTGCCAATCCCAGTTCAGTCCTTTGGGTATCCACGGATATTGGTTCAGGTCCGAGCTGAGAATTCTCTTCTGCAGAGCTCACTGTCTCTCAGTTTTCAGGGAAATACTCTAGTTTGTCATTGGGGTGGAGGTATCACAAATGAATGTGTTTAAAGCCTAGGTATTATATCAGTTTTGAGATATTTATATTGTATACCGGTATGTGTTTATATATTCTTGGATAATTCTGCCACCCAGAGGTGGAGTCTACAGCCCCTCCTCTTAAAGATGGCAGGCTTGAAGCTCATGGACAACCCAAAGACTGTGGCAGATGTAACTTTATGTGATTTCTGAAGCTACACATGAGAAAAATACAGTCTAGTTTTCATCTTGTATCCTAAAACACTTATTTATATTGGAGTCTAGAGCCACCATTTTAGGAGTTTCATTGACTCGAGGCCACCATACTGTGAAGAATCTCAAGGCACATGGAGAGGCATTGAGCAGGTTCTCTAATCAATCATCCTGGCTGAGTTTCCAGCAGCCAGCATCACCTGCCAGCCATGTGGATAAGTGATCTTGTACAGCCAGCCCAGTTAAGCCTTTAAATCACTATAGCAACTGCCAACATCTGACTGCAATTTCACGAGAGTCCCCAGCTGGGCCCTGCCTGAATCCTTGACTCACAGATCAGGAGGAAACTTAAATGGCTCGGGGTTATTTTATTATGGCAAAAAACTAACATTAAAGTTATACCATCTTAATCTTTCTTAAGCATACCTTTTACATTATTGTGCAACAAATCTCTAGAACTTTTTCATCTTGGAAAACTGAAACTCTACCCATTAAATACTA